TATATATATATATATATATATATATATATATAATTTTTACTTCACCTGTTTCGGGCTGCTTTATGCTGTTAGTTATTTGGTTATGCTACCTTGGCTTTTTTTATCTAACGTTTTTTATTACATATTTTGTGACAATGTTTAGCAATATTTTCCTTGTCTAAATGTGTCTACCTGTGACTTTTTTCACTTTTGTGGCACTTTTTTGTTGATACCTCTATAAAATATTATTTTCCAAAAAAATAATAGATGAGCGCGTCATAGACACGACAGCTGTACAGTTATGCATAATAAACATGGTCCTTTAAAAAACATTATTTTCTAGAAATATTATAATTTAATAATATAAGTTAAGGCCACTTTGCAAAAGGAACAATTGCTAAGATTATTTTCACCTTAAATATAATCTTCACCTTAAAAAATAATCTTAGCAATCACTACAGATTTAAGTTAAATAAAGAACAGCTATTTTTGCTTTAAAAAAATTTTTAAAAATCTGTGTGTCTTTGTGGTTTCGCGTGTGTTTTTTAGCACGTGGAGACTCCATAACACTGGCTGGGCTCCAGCAGCTCCAGCTGTGTAAATGACAGCTGTGCTTCTTTTTCTTTGTTTGTTTGTGCTGAGTTCTTGATACAAAGAAATTGTCCGCCTGTGTTACTGGAAGACTGCGGTTATTAGACAGCTGTGGCCTGGAATGTTTGCACTTTTAATGAACCCGTGGATAAAATCAACAATCCTTGCTTTTTTGTTAAACAGCTGTGTTCTCTTTTTTTTTTCTTCATATTTCCATCTACAGCTTATGGAGCAAATGCACCTTTTGGTTGTGTCATTCAGTTCTTACCATTCTATGTTATGTAGGTTAAATGTAAACGGCCAGTGTTTGGATGAACCACAGTGACCTTTTCCTATGTCACAGAGGTTTGACTTTGTCCTAGAGGTAATGGAAAAAAAACAAATATAGAACTTCAAAAAAAAAGCAGCTCTTCCTATGTCATCAGAAGGGGGCCCCGTATGCGTGTTGGACGTAGTTATGTTCACCATAGAGATAGAGTTTTACCATGACTGATCATACGACGCCCACCACCAACACCTCCAATCTCAGCCCCATAAAGCAGCAGCTCCAGGTGAAGGGCATGGTTTTGATAGGCTGAGCTAACAAACAGGGTGATTGAGTTTGTTCACATGAAAAGATGATACCGATGCCTACAGAGGATACAGAGTTCTGCTGATAAAACCACCAGCTGAGACAAACAGAGGCATCATATTTGTACACAATGGCACTCAAAATAAACTGAAAATACACCACCCACAGTGTGAACAGGTGCAGCAAATACCTGCGTGTGCTGCAGGAGCATGTGGACTCAGCTGTGTTTTGAGCGTGATGGTGTTTACTCACATTACGAAAAAATATAAAAGTTTGTTCCTTTCACCTGTTTCTGTTTTTCGTTTTGCTGGTCAAGGGTCAAATTTATCAGTTTCAAATCAAAAGGCTGAAAAAAACGTTTTTTTACTAGTTCTAAATACTATTTTAAATCACTAATATGTGTATTTTGGCCTATTTTATATTACATATCTAGTTAGTTATTCCTTATTATTAGCTAACTAACTATTAACTTGCTAATCATTCACTGGTGTACTGTGCTTGTTTCTTTTGTTGCTTTACAGACTACTCGACACCATTACTAATGGTCAGGTATTCTTTGGTTCTACTGCACGTAAACCTTTTATTCATTATCTCATACAAGTGTATTCTCATTGTAAGTGTGTGACATTTTATGATCAGGGACCCACATATGAAAATGAAACCACATTTTGTTAAAGTTTGTAAAATACAGTGTGTGACTTGTTGCAGTATCAGACAAACTTTTTTTTTTACTGTGCATAGAAAAGTCGTGAGATATAATTTTAATTGTATATATGTATAAATTGTCTATAGATTTCATAATGTATACACCTTGATTATATGTCTAAAATGTGCTGAAATGGCAAAGGGCATTTGGTGACAAGATTGGACAAATACGTACCTGAGCCAAAACAAAACGGTTGTTTTTTTAAAATATTTTTTTCTTCTTCATCATTTACGTCTTGCGTCACCTTGATTGACGTAGAGCGTCACCACGTGGTAAGAAGTGTATTATCTATGAGCTGGCGTCGTACTATGTTGTAACTTATAATTAACGCATTCATGCACTAACTGGGTCAAACTATATGATAAAAAATCTACTAGTAAATAGAACTTTATCATACGTTCATAACACTTTCTTACGTCAACACTGTTTGAATGCTACGTCAGAGACTGTGAGTAGTTTATTACTGCTAACAGTAGATGGCACCAAATCACTAGTGTTGAAAATGAGACCTCGTTTGTTTTAAGGGAATTTGCACTTTGCAGCGGCTTCTGCAGACATGAATGAAATGAAGGAGGAGAGTCAGGGGTTAAATATATAGAAGAGTGTTTCATTAATGTGATACTGTGAGCTAATGTTCTATGTTCTTAGCTGTTAGCACAAACGATCTCGTTAAACTTGTAATTTACAAACCCAGAAATAATTCCTCCGTCTGTCTTTTTGAAGCAGTTGAATTAGGGATATTCTGATTGGCTAATTACAATCGTTAGTAACTCAAAATGTTAACAATAAGACACACGTAAAATTGTTATGTTCTAACAAATTATCTATGGCTAACATAGCAATATATCTGTATAGAAGATTCAAATCATTCAGAAGAAAGCCTTCATTCTTTTATCTGTATCCAAATAAAATATTTAATAAAAATAGGAGTGACATTAAGAAAAGACTAAAATAATCCAATATACACACAGACCTAAGTAGTAAACAAAAACTTATTAAGAAAGTGTTAAAAACTCATTAAGAAAAGTTTGTGTTGGTTATGTCACAGAGCATGAGTATGGCCTGAGATTATTTAGGGCTGCATTTTAGTTATTATTAGCCTTGCCATACATTCATTGTCATAATCTCAAATAAATTGATAAATGGAGATTAATTGATCAGTAACATCAACCTCTTCTGTGTTTGTCATTGTTGTGGCTAAAGTTTCCATGGCTCTGTCATGTTTTCCCATATCATATCAGTGTGTGTGTGCGTGTGTGTGTGTGTGTGTGTGTGTATATCACTGGGTTGTGAATGAGCGCTGCTGCAGGGTCTCAGCGCTGACGGTTAGTGGGAGGTCTCTTCAGATTCCTGTCTGACAGCGAGGGTCCTCCACTCTGTGTCGAGAGCCCCTTCACCTCCAACCACCAGCAGACACACACACACACACACACACACACAATTATTCCAGACAAATTATGGACATGGAGGGGGGATGGGTATTTGAGGTGGTGGTGGTTTTTCGGCCTCCATGTGGTCTGGAGAGGCAAACATTTGACTCATTGTTGCCCCCTAATCCCCACCACCACCCTTCCTGTGACCCCCACTGCCATGTCCTCACCACCTCACACTTCCTCTGTACTGCAAACACATCAGCAGTACTGCACTACATGACAAATGTAGTAATGTCCTCAGTACTTCTCTGATGTGTGTTTGCTCCAATCAATTAAACTCAGTTTGAAGTGATGACCGTTACAGGGGCCCACGCAGGTCAAATTATGATTATTATTATTATTTTTATTTTTTGTATTTCGTTTTTTACTTGTGAAAAAGTGTGTGTGTGGTGGTGTCAGTGATTATAATTTTTATTTTCTTTTTTCTGTAAGAATGTCTGTTTATTGGGAATCACACAGTAGCTACAGTAGCTACATGACCGACCAGACAGGTCCAAACATTAAATATGGTTTTATTACTGCTAGTCTCTAATGTTGAAAATATTAACCTAAAAATAAGATTTATATATATATATATAATTTGATCCAAATAAATACATGGGAAAACCAGTCTGTGTGTCACTCACATCTGCATACAATTTAAAATGAGTACGAGTACCAGCTAAAACACTGATTTAAACTTAGTGATGGAGGAAGACAAGAATTTGACAAAATCATTGACTTTTTTGGGTTTTTTTTAGTCTGCGACACACATTTTTTATCAGAGTAAAAAAAGAAGGAAGGAAGGAGGTGGATTGGTCCACAGGTCAGAGGTCAGATGGGTGAGCTGAGACGGTCAGTAATGAGACATCAACCCTCATTAGATCATGAGGAGACGACATGAGAGCTGATGAGGACGGTCCACAAACACACACACACAAACACACACACAGGAAACTCAAACAGGAACAGGAAGTGATGAAGACCAATTTCAGCTCAGCCTGCAGCGCCTGCAGGGAGGTTTGGTCTGAGTCAGTGGTGAGCGGTCGTGTGTCATCAGAGAGATCAGACATCTCACCTGCAGCCTCACAACAAAGACCAGGGTCTGAAGTTAAAAACCACATCTCTGGCCCCTCTCTCCTGAGGTGAGAAAAGATGGAGCAGTATTTGAAGAAAAACACTTTTTCAACGTTTGTACACAGTGACTCTCAGTTGTAGAGAATAACACACACTGACGTCACCAAATTCAAAGCGTGTTGAGGTTTTGTCTCGTGTTGAAAGGTTCCAGGGACTTTAAGATGGAAATGAAACCTCTGGTTAAACCTGGTATGATGTGTTTTCCTCTCCTTTAGGGATTAAAGTTAAATAC